CGCCAAACTTTCAAAATTAGAACGTTCTAAATTTAAAATACAATCCGTTGCCCGTTACACCCAATAAATGGCATTTCGTCACGCACACCGTGGATTCCCACAGATTACATAAACATTCTCATCTTGTTTCACTCTACGTAAAACACGAGAATGCTGAAACAAAAGAAAAATAATTCTGAGAAGATACACGCTTCGTTTACTACTTGAGGTTATTTATCTCGATTATGCACGCCTAATGGATAAAGTAGGATAAAACTGTTGAGAGAGATAAATTGTGTAATATCGGAACATCAATTTGCTTTTGTTACGTGGGCACTTGGTCGCTCCACAGACTTTAGTATTCAGGTTTCCGTGAAAAATAAAACCAAAAATAGTCGCGGGTTGTCGGTTGCGGCGACCGAGAGCTAGCTAATTGGCTTGAATTTTTTAAAGCTTAGTCACGATACACCATCTTTCGTTGTTTTTGTGAGTCACATTTGCAAAACAATGTATCTTCGTTTCCTGATTCGTGATACTTATATTCATAACAGCCCCGGATGAACTAACAAAAATAGTTTTACGCTTAGATTAATAAAACCTAGATGGATAGTCTTCATACAAACGCTTCGTCAAGAGTGAGGCAAAAATCTTATGTCATTAGTGTCAATTTTGTTGGGGAGTGTAGACAGTGAAGGCGATTTTCCCGAAAGTAGGGAAATTTTTAATACGTTTTTAATTATTTTATAATTAACAAAAACAAAACGCATCATGTACTTACTTATTTATTGAATTCAAAGTACCTACCTAATTACAATAAGATAAATCGACTTAAAAGTCTCGATTTCATAAAAAAGGAAGTGTATTTGTACGGCGAACAATTGGAAAATAAATTTTCTTGTTACTGGTATCATTCCCGTATTTAATTTTTGAAAGCCAAATTCAAGCAAAATACGCGTCGAATCGTAGTACTTATACTGTCTTATGAAATGTAACTTTCGTTTATCTGATGTATTTAGACACCCTTTCACAGCACAAACCGTCTTATTTAATTAAAAGTCGTCGGACGTGTTTACCAATTTTTCACTTTGACAGTTCATGTGACGTTTACGAGTGAGCCATTCAGGCTTACTAAAATCTGCCTCACTTTTCGTGCATCTATCTAGGTTTTATTAATCTAAGGTTTTACGTAGTTTGGCACGATGATTAAAGAGTATAACGTTTATTCAATTATAGAGACCCATTCAACTGGTTTAGGCGCATACAAGTCCGTTATTTACATTTATAATAGAGCACCAAACAGCTCAAGTAACCAGGCAATAAATCTACGATTAGTGCACACTCGCCGTAATTATAAGGTGCAATTAACTCAGTTATCAAACCACCACTGAACGGATGAGTCATAGCATTTCAAACTTTAAGTGGAACACGACACGACGGTAGTTACGCACTATGCATATTTATTTGTGTTTAGTAGACAGTCAAATAATTTGTTGAATCCATTTGAATTTCAATCGAAACTTAATGTACCGAAAGCGATACGACATTTGTATGGTCGATTGTTGAAATCGTAATGAAATAGGGTACGAGCGCACGAAACGCTTTTTTCTTCACATTTTGGTGGAGCGTTTTTAATATGCCAACAAGGCCATAGCAAGATCGTGACTCTTGAAAGCCTATATTGAGTAACGTTGCCGACGGATTTCATAAAATACTCTTGAAACGAATTATTTGAAGATCAAAGTGGTCGTTGATCTTTTTAACAATTTAGTTATTGTAGTATTTCTCGATATTGGACCGGAGCTAAATAACTTTGAGTGAAATATTACAATACAATTTACTAGAAAATATTATAAGGCTGCCTACTTTGCTTTATTAAAATTTCAATATACATACTTTATACAGGGCGATTTCATAACGAAATTGAAAACAACAACATTTTTCAAGGAAAAAGTAAGGGTCAGAAGAGAGTATTGAAACAATGGGGTCGTGTAACACAGGCAGCAGTCCTTTGTTGCATGACAAAAACTTGACACGTATGACTACAGTAAACGTACAGTAACTCACCCTCGTACGTATGCTAACTCGACAAAAGCTTATTGTTTGTGCAGGTGCGCCACGCATTCTTTGTTCTCAAAATTAACGCCTACAGAACGCTGGAATGTAGAGATCCTCGCTCCCTCTGTTTACTGGACTGGACAAACTTTTTAAACAGTTTACTGGGAATGGTCAAAGTATATTTAATTTATTTCTTTGGAAAATGACGACTATTCTTGAAAAAGAAGACGTAAATGATAATAGAGACGTGTTTCTCGTAAAATAACGACAAAGTTAAATAACTTGACACAAATTAGACTGTAATAAAAGAGAGCAACCAGTTTGAGAGATAAATTAATGTCGATTTCAGTCGAAGGGGGGGTTTTCCCCCCATCGTATCAAACTACATATTGCAAGCATTAAAATACCTACCTTATTCATAACCAAAGCAATGTAAAACAGTATATAAACTGTAAAAACTAGCATAAAAAGTTATTATTGAAACGGAACCTAAATATTCCAATGAAGTGATAGGCATGACACAGTCGTTTACATAAATGCCTATGTAATATTTAAATATGTATTTATTTGTACATTAGGAGCCCCTCTTGTTTACGATATTATGTGCCCGTTAACGTACTCTCTGACCGAGTCAGGGGCGCGCACGCAGGTCATCGCTTATCGAAGCACTAATATTTTATATGCCCAATGCGTGCTCACTAAATATTTTAGGTACTAAAACAACTGAACACTGGCATCGTATATGGTTGTAATAGAGGTGAGTTTTCAACAAAAATGAGTAGTCTGAACTGCTACATTTCTGAACACTTCCCAAATATGTGTTTATTTTTCGAATCATTAAGCTGTCGTGAACTCGGCGATGAAGCGTGATTGAACGGGTTAATTGCACAACACGTGAATTACTTAACGCCGATAAAAATAGTTAATTAGGAAGGTTTAGGTTAATATCGTTATAACCGTTTTCAGGCTAACCAGTTAAAGCAATGTAATAATTTTACAAACCGGTTTTAGTTGTTTAAGAATGTATCAATTTAACTATGCGTTTTAACGTACACGCGCGTGTAAAATGGGTAAATAATAAAAATAAGAAAGTAAATTCTAGTCGGCAGCAATTTATAAAACAAGATATCAACATGTAACGCTACAAGTTTTCTAATTACCAGATAGCCTCCGTGACCCGACGATAAACGGTTCAAAATAACACCAGTTGGCTACTAAATACCTATTTATTTTAAAGGCAATTATTTAGAATTGCGGTAATTAGTGGTTTGGTAAAATTGTTGCTAAATATTGTTGTGTTGGTTAAATGTTGATGTCTATTTGGAGTTCAAATTAAAAATAGACTTGCATACTCGATAAAGAATAATCTTATTAGGTTTTGAAATCGGCTATTTTAGCTCGTAATAAAATAAAACGAGAATTTTTCAGATAAAATATTACCGATGTATAAGTACCTAAACATGAAGGTAAAATTAACTTTTGTTTTATTCATTGGCCTTTAAAATTCAAATTTGATAAAACATGTTTTATAGACGATACTGCTTCGACAATATTTATTGTAGAGTTTGTGATAAGAATATTTATTTTAAAAATAGCATCGTTTTTTTGCTACAACGTAGACAAATGCGTGGGATGTGAAGTCATATAGCTAATCAGCTTAAAGGCTTTTGATTTCCCAAACACTCCTGAGAATCGTTCGATCCATGTTCCATTAAACCTGATGAAATACAAATATCGATGCCTAAAATACGTTTGTTTAGATATACGACAGACAAAACGTCATGCTGCATTCACGCTGAATTATTTGCTTTGTACATATAGCTGAATGAATAATACATTACACATTATTTCATTTTTAAATGGGCGCTTGAATAGCCTGTAGCCTTGTAATATGCAATAAATACTTTAATACAAATTCATGTTCATTCATTTGCTGATGAAATAAACGATTTTATGAAAAGCAAGGTCAATTTTCTAATTTTCATTACGTAACAAATTGTTTATCCGCCCAAAAACATTAACATTTTTGACATAACAAATTACATTGCGCGGTAATGATAATAAAAAAGCACGTGCGTGCTTAAGTTGCATTGTGAACTTAAAAGCGGTGTAATAAGAGTCACTTTACTAGCATGTGTGTTGGAAAATCTATTTATAATGTTGACGTCGCCGCCCCACATTCTTATCGAAGTAAAACGCGTCTTAACCAACCTAGCGCAGATGTCAGACACTTCTGCTTACGAGAACAAGGGCTCAACACGAACTAGTTCTAACTGTTATTTATGGAATTCAATGATAACAAAACGATACAACTCACAAAACAATAACGCATTAAACAAAAGGCGACGAAATAAATGTGCTAAAATAATATTGCTCCAACGAATTTTATCGCGTAGATTATGTAATTGTTTTGGCTACAAAATATTATCATGAGAATTTAAATAGGTAGGTACAACTCGAACACATACAATAACTAGAAACGTCCATTTATCTATTTATTTTATTTTATTTTATTTTTATTTTACAAGGAAAACAATACAGTGTTGAAACTATGTAACTATTATTATATTTGAGTAATAGGCAATAATGAGTTGTATCGAAAGAAATTATCGGCTTTGTTAATCACACTTGTGCGGCTCAATGACTTCAATGAATGGCTTGTACCTACATACCTATTGTCAGAATTATTGAAGAATGAAAGGACTTAAACTTCACACTGAATTCCCAGAGTGAAAGGTTTACCGGTTTTTCTTCATCAGCATATAGCATTCCATTTCAAGCAAAAGACGTCCACTGCTGGACAAAAGCTTCCCCAAGTGCTCACAACAGCCGGCCCTGCGCTGCCCGCGACCTACCATCCACCTAAATTGTGCTGTCGATTTGACACTTCGCTAATGTTTTATGTGGTGTATTTACTAGAATGTATTTTTGAATCAAAAATTTTGACCTGGTGTTCTTTGTCCACAGCACATCCGATGATCTCAGCGAGCCTCTCCGGCGAGGCTCTGGCCCACCTCGGGCAGCTCTGGCAGCAGAGCCACCCGCCGCCGGCACCCGCCGGCATGACGCCGGAATTCCTTGCGCCGCCGCCGCGGCCGTACGCGCGGTATCCACCGCGGCGGCGCGACGCCATGCCAGCGCCGCCGGCTCCGGCACCGTTCCCGTCTTACACGCCGTTTCTGCCGCACGCGTTCCCGCCGTATCTGTACCGGACGAGGGTGCCGCCGCAGCCGCCGCCGTCGAGCTATCCCATGAGGCCGCGGCCGTCGTCAGGGTTTGTGCCGCCGGCGCCCGCGCCTCATTCGCCGCCGACGGCGCCTGCGCCTGTCCCGCCCCCGAGAGAGGTTAGTATCTTTTCTTTTAACGCTCTTTAACTGCAGTTGCTCTGAAAGCAGTGAGTTTTTGCTCGAGGACCATGTCCAAGATTCTGAAGGACCGAGCCTCCACCCTCGAAAGCAGTTGCTAAATCACATTGCCTTTAATCGTAAGGAGCAGCCTATTCTCCTAAATTATCGTCACCGTTACCACCTTTATCATGACTTGTAAATCTTGTGATGCCTTTACGGCGTCTATAGCCAAAGTTGTGCCTTTGACCAGGTCATATGACCTGAACGAATGATATCTCTCACCGAAAACACAATCTTACCATTACTTGATACACCTCTGCCTGTAAACCCAAATTCAATATTCTCAACTACTCCAATCACGTTCCAGGAACCGCCCATGTCTCCCGAGCGAGGAGCGCCCGCGCCATACTTCTGCCGCGGCGCGCTCATCCGCTTAGAAGACGGCTCCCTTCGGCGGGTTGAGGAGATGCGCACAGAAGACTTCGTCATGAGCGCGGACCGCAGCGGAGACCTGGCTCTCACGCAGTGCACCCTGCTACGGATAGAGGAGAGGGGAGAGAAGCTCTCTCTCACTCTCGCGTACGACAGAAATCGCTCGCAGGTAACTGGCAGTTATAAAATCAGCTATTAAAAAAAAGACGAACCTTGCTCTTCGACGTTGATGATGCTAAAAACAATAGAAGATCTACTGTCACAACCTTTTTAAAAATACGAACCTTGCTCATTCTCAATCGATGCTAAAAACAATAGAATATCAACTGTTAGTGCCTTTTCACACGTTCCGGTTGCCGGCTATCCGGCGCCGGGTACCCGGTGGTGAAGTGTATGGGCATGGTACGTAGCTTTCACATGTTCCGGCGTAATTAATCCGGCATGCCCATACATTCACGACCGGGTACCCGGCGCCGGATAGCCGGCAACCGGAACGTGTGAAAAGGCACTTACTGAAGCGACCGGATATCCATTTATAAAAACAGGAAAATAAAATGTTTTGTGTAGACTTTTGGCATATGTAAATATTATAATAACATAATGGAAATTAAACAGTTAAAATGACCTCCAATGAATAGATTAACAAAATTATAAGCTTGACACCTACGCATCGTAATGGAACGCGTATAGATAACCCACGCTGAACTGTCCCACCAAACTCAATGACAGGGGGGCGCTACCATCGTTCAATTATATGGTTTCCAACATGGCAAAAATCGGAACCAGCGATCCGGTATTGACGGTGGCGCCCCACTGTCAATGTCATGCATAGGACAGTTCAGTATTTTGGAACTATAGCCACGTGACAAATGTAACCCGAATGGGCGAGCGGAGCCATTAATGCTTGTCCGAGTGACATTGACGATTACAATAAATACCATTTTATTGTCTCTGGATTTTCTTCATTGCTGTAGATTTTTAACGGCGCGTTCAAGGTCGCAGACTGTTTTTAAATCGTTTAATTAAATTCTTTATAGATGTAAGTCAGTGTTGTTTGTTAATGAAAATATGCTAAGACAAGATAATAAGAAATGTTTTAAATACTACATTGGGAAAGCTCTTGGCCTGCATCTCACCTGGTTGCGGTTCACCTGGTTACGTCAACCGCAGGGGAACTGGCTAACATCTCTACATAAGATATTAATATCTAATACTTTTTTGTTTGCTAAGGCAAATGGAGGATTAGGCCTACACTCCCTACGCTAGCCAGAGGCTATAGGATTAGGCAACATTGATGCTCACACATAACTTATTAATTCTTTTTTCAATTTCAGGTGGAGCTGGAGTCCACGATGGATCACCCGTTCTTTGTGTATGGACGGGGATGGGCAGCGTATATGCCTGAGCGCACGCACGCGCGATACGGGCTCAGCGTGCAAAGGCTGCAAGTGGGCGACGTTTGCGTGTCGCTGGTGGCTCGCAAGCACGCGGCCCACGCGCCCCACGCCGCGCCCGCGGGGCCCACGGGGGCCATGATGACCCCCGCGCCCCCGCAGACCCACCCCGAGAACCTCAGCGTCAAGGAAGACGCCCGCAAGCGGCGGTGGTCCGCCTCCGATGTCTGCGAGGACGACCGCCCTCCCCCAAAGAAACGCTGAACCGCTGCACGCATCTTCCGCGTAACATTTGGACTTTCAAAGTGTTGTGATCGCCTTCGTTGCAAAGACTCTCGTTTCAGACTGTTATTTTTAATCTTGTGAAACGCGATAAGCCGTTTACCAGTACGTAAGCTTCCGAAGCCGAGCTCGTCCAGCGACCTGTCGCTAGTTTCCGCCATCCCAGTGAGAACGCGATGTGTGTTTGTTTGTAAGTTGAGCACTTCTGCAGCGATCGGCAGTCTACAATCGTACGCTTATGATATTCTATTCGGGAACTCTAGGTGCTTATTACTGTCGGGTGCTTCTGTACGCGTTCGTGTACGATGTTTTGTAAATATGTATGTAACTTAGGTCAAAGTTAACGTTACACTCCATGACTAAATTGATGTGTCACAAATGTAGCGTTAGTGCGCCTTGGACTGCGCAGCGCCGCGACAAGACGCTGCCCGGTCCGACTGCGTTTAGTCGTTTAATGACACAAATCGTTATGTACTTGGGAGAACTTGAAGAAATGCTGAAAAACGTACCTTAAGCTCCACCATTGATAGTTTGTTATAAATGGAGTTGTTTTCGATCGAGCACAAAAATATGAGTAAGTTTCTATCAGATCTTAAAGTAGGTTAGATAATGTGATAACCAATGAGATTCAAAATCGCCAGAAACACGCGGTAATGCATTAGACAAAAGTAAAGGTACAATGAATGTTAGGTAGTAGGTAGTTGTAATGGGCTGACGTGCGCTTAAGTCTTGACTGATTCCCGTTGTTCCCGGATCTAGCCCCGCAGTCGGTCGATCATGGTTGTGACTGCTACATATCCGCGGCCGAGCACTCGGGCACCGGTGCGAAGTCTTTCCCTCATAGATGTAGATACAAGAGACTACTTCGCTGTGTAATAGTGGCAAACTCTTCTGACAAATAATTCGATCGTGTATAATAAATGTTGATATATATTGTAAAGTATAATATATTGTATAATCATCACGATTATTAGATGTCATCTCTTGATTTTTGACGTCCATGTGTGATGCACACATATAACTTTTGTATGAGAAGATGTATACATAATAAACACACAGTCTGTGATATTTTGTAGTTATTGGACAGAGTAGGTATGAAGTATTGCTTGAATAAAGGAAATACAAATATATGTTTTAGAGTAAGTGCGTTATTGGTAAGAAACTGTTGTTGTATACTCAAAAAATTATTCGCTGAAATTTTAAAGAACCTGAAGACAAACAAGTAGCGTCTGTGATTTTATACATATAATCGTTATGTAACGACAAATGCATGGCCATATCAAAATCAAATTGATTTTTGTATATTATCATTAAGTGAATATGATTGTAATTGTAAAGATTTGTTCTACGTCCTGGAATTTAATGGAAATTTATTTCGCATAATATTAGTAGTGGACCTCGGACAGTTATGTTTTAGGCGTTTAAAAGTCAGGTATCGCCGCGGAATTGACTTGTCCGAGGGCCGCTGGAGATTAAGCGAAAGGGCGCTAGCTGCGCCCGCGCATACTTGCCAAGTCGCGGAGAGAGCCCAAGCCGATGGAATGGTTCGTAGCTTTGCCGAGTTAGTTTCATTGTACCGTGAATTGTTACGTGCTTATTAATCGTATGTTATATTAACCGACCACCACAGAGCGAACACCTCGTCAACGGCGGATGGTGTTGTACAAAAGTTAATAATTTGTTGTATAATGTATGTAATTCTAGTTTTATCGTCTTATATTATTATTTGTAATTGTAATGAAAGATCTCATTTTATTAATCGGTATTTTCTAACAAGGCGCTTCATTAGATCATGACTAAGCCTACCTCACAAACGTTAAGACTAGTGTTTCGCCGCGGCGCCGCCCGGCCGCAAACGAGTCTAAACAAGATCTCAATTTGATGAAAACAAACTTTTAAAAAGACTGGGACGCTTTACTGAATGTTGTGGGATAGTAGTTTCTTCGAAGATATTACTTAAATTATGATAGGAGCATTTATTTCGTTAAGGGCGCCGCCCACGCACGCTCCGCTTCCGACGCACTGGACAAACAATTAGTACAAAATTCGTTACAAAAAGTATTATTTCCCAAAATCCAAATTCAGAAAGTATTAATTTCAATCAAAGGTGCTATACGTCCTTTGTTAACATAGTTGAGGCACAATCATGATTAAAGTCATGATGATTTTTATTGAGATAATCAACTGAGATGTTTATTAACCAACCAAATTGGCCGTATATCAAAGTTCTTCCGCGCCTCATACTGATAGATTTAGCGAGTCAATTATACACTTGATGGAGTAGATACTAACAGCTGTCACCGCCAGACGCTTAAATATCCTAAAAGTAAGGTGGACTGTTCATTGGAGCGGCATTATATTGAGATACGTACTAATGAAAGAACACTACAATCTAAATCTTAAAAAACCGTTGACACGTATTGCTTGTAGACAGTGGACCTTACTATGCGTCATTTTCTACCATACTCTATATAGAACCAACTTCGTAAATAGTTATTCCTTTTGTAAATAAATTGTTGTACACTGACCACTACTGACCAGACAATATATTATTCTGTATGGAATATCTCGGGTCGAACTGTCAGATTATATGTGTGAGATTAATAAATGGTTCGAATACACGATAGTAAACCATGCTTTCTTGTGTGATAGTGAATAGTAGTATCTAAACTTCTATAGCATAGCAAGCAATAAAAATATTATAATTTCTGAAGATTAATATTACATAATAAATAAATATATCGTGTATTTGTGCCAATTTTTCCAAGCGCGAATGGATTAATGTAGGTTATTGTTGTTCATAGAATATATCTGTGTACTTGAAAATTCTGCAATTCAAATCTGACTTCCACAAGCATTTTGGATCCGTACTTAATTTAAAAATGTTGAAAAAAAAAAGTATGCTTAAAGATAATTTTATATCCCATGTTTTATGATTAAAATTAATTAATTGCACATTTTTAGAATCGAATACACAGATTAAATTGTATAATATCGATGTTGCCAATGTGAGAAACGGCCAGTAATGGTTCCATAGTCCGTAGCCTTAGTTTGCCGAGCTCTACATCTACACTCAGGTGAAAAAATATGTCTAATATTTCCGAAAACAAATGGATAACATTTTTGCATCTGACTGTACAACACACGTCGACACAAACGATTGTGCCATCAGTAACCGGTAATTATATACTTTCACCGATTTCTTCAATGGTTAATTGAATTCGAATATACTTTTGTTAAATAAAAGAACAGATTTTTAATATTACCATGTGTACTAAACAATCAACTCATGTTTTCAATTGTCTGACACTATTTTGAACGTGTAAGATTAACGTAGAGAACAGGTAATGATGTGTCATTTAATTCATAGATAAATAATGATTACCTATATAAATGTTATGTAATTATATGACAAATATGGCAAAAAATATATATGTATATTTTATTGTATAGCGGAATGAGTACTATTTCAGATTAATGTAAATGGAAAAATGTTATAGACCGAGAAAATATGTTAAAGATAAGTTAACTGTTTGTAAAAAGAAGAGAAAATATGTATAATTGAATATTTGATACGATTTGGTTTTATTTATAAATAACACCCCTAAGTTCTCTTTCAGAGTTCCTAAATAAGAACATGCATGAAAAAACTACGTTCTTAATACACCACCTGTCTATATCGAACTTTACGCAGGTACATTAGATGAAAAAATCCTAACCATAAGTCTGAACATTATAACAGTGTTAGGTATCCAAATGATAAAATAATGACAAAATGGACTTGGAAAAAACACAAGTTAGTAAATAGCTCCAAATTACGTCATACGTACACTTTGCCGAGATTGAATCACAAATCTTAGCTTAAATGTATTTGTAAAATAAGAGTAGACAGGTAAGCTGAGGTCTACGACAAAACATCGCGAGCTAAATTTTTTCCAACGCCATCTATTGGTTAAGTAGGAAGTTTCAAACGTACATGCACTATTGTAAGGGAAATTCTGTGAACTATTATAAACTGCTTATTCTTATATTGAACTTCACTTCAAATTAAAACCTCAAGTTAAAATTAAAAATGTTTATTTGTAGAAGCGATCACAACATGGAATACTAAAAGTAAGTAGTGTATATTATAATAATTAGGGCTAATAAAGTGCTCATATATCGGCCTTGAGGTCGAGCATTACCTTCTCTCCGGGCTTGAAAGCGGGCATGCCAAGATACGGGCAAGTTGCACAGCGGAACGCGTCGCCCAGGTAACACTGGAAATTATAATGGATAAATATAAATGGGTGTTTTATATTATTTTGACAATTTCATCAAAACATGATCCTATCAAAAACATTGGAGAAAAAAGCCAATTTAATAAGCTAGAATATACGTGGTTGGTAACTTCGCCGACAAAAGAATTAGATGTAAATGTATTCGTGTGTCTAGAAGATTTGTCTTGGCTTGTTTTTACTCACAAACCAAATTTTTAGAGTAGGTAAATATTATTATGTTAGCCTTACAAAATGAAAATAATAACAAAAGAAGATAAGTTAACCAAATATATTGGTTTGTGCCATTACGTGTTTCAGTATTTTTCGATATTTGTTTACCAACCATCCACTTAAATATTCAATCTGTTTGTATTATGTCGGCATTTATACGCATTTTACTCGACACGCGTTAGAAAATAAAGAACACACTGCCTTTCAGGGAAGTCAAGAAACAAACAAAATAAACATACGATAAAAAAGATGAAGCACTTGATGTCGTGCCCTGAGTGACCAAACAACTGCATGCAGGAGGATTTCATTAATGCTGCTGACAACGCCACTCGAATAGCGGAGTTTTGGGCTGACACTGTGTAGGTTTGTTGTCGACACGATAAGAAGAAGAAGATAAGATAAAAATAATATACATACACTTCCACAAGAAGACTTGGGCGTCTCCTTCGTCTCTCCTCGGAGCTCCTCCGCCAGTCCACACGAGCAGTCTGCGCACGCTTTTCTTTTGCCAGTTGTAGCACATACTGGAAATTTAATTATTCATTTTTTAATTCATTCGTTATAGCCAAATAATGTCCACTGCTGGGCAAAGGCCTAGTTCAAGGATTTCCACTACGACCGGTTCTATTCTTCTGACTGTGCCCTATGAGACAGTTGCCTGTTTATTTTAGTAGGAGAGCTAGGGATCAATAAACTCTTTTCTAAACTGAAACTGCTCAGGAACTTCAAGTTACCAAGAAAACAAAAGGTAGAGACATCAATGCCAAAACATTTTGTTTCTTTTCTTTGTTATATTCTATTCAATGCAAACAGAAACAATTAACTGTTAATTCTAAGCTATTTCTATTTAACACACTATCTTAACTGCAGTTGCTATTTGCATGAAGACTGCATGTAATTATTCGAGCAAAACCTTCCATAGTCATTTACACCACCAGTATAGTTTTTAAAAAACACGTAATCGTAAATACGATCTTATCGCGTCACATAAAAGTCCGGCTCATTCATAAGCTATAATCGAGTGACCCTCAAAGAATCGTTCAATAGGAACCGCAACACAAAACCTCAACGTGGCGTCACGCCAACACACCGGTAAGTCATTGTCCTCTTATTTGGAACACAAAACCTCGCCGCTGATGCCATGATAAAGGCAACAGTAGATTGTTTGACAAGGACACAATGCTGATAAGTGATAACTGTGTCAAAAACATTGTTTAATTGCACTTACTAAATCATAAGTGTTGTTATCAATAATACTGATAGTAACGCCTTGGTTTGTTTGCATCATTATAAGAATAACATTTTGGCACACTTGGCATTGATAGAAAACAAAATAATGGTTTCTTCTTTACAATTTTACAAGCCAATAAAAGTAATTAAGGAGTTCAAAAGAAAAATTTAGGGCTTGTGGAACCAAAGAGAAAATAAGAAATGTGATACCTCTGAGAGATTGCTTGTCTGGTTTCTTCAGATCGTCTTCATCTAAGAGCTGGTCAGGATCAATGGTGTCATCGTCATTGCCTCCATTCCACGCTGATTCCACTGTGTCATCAAGTTTCCATACTGCGGGCTTGCTGCCCAGCTTCAGAGATGCTTTTGAACCAACCTGTAATTTAATAAAATAGGTAAATATTCAAAAAGGATTCAAACTTTATTTCCTTTATTTTCATTTATTCAATTTTATTTTCATTGTTAATCTGTTTTAACTATCAAACAAATTTTAATTGTGTTATCTTTAAAAAGTAGAGATGNAATCGCAATATTTTCTCAATTAACTATTTAGACGACGAAATTGCCTAACTATTTATGCCTATAACATATTTGTAGTGTTACTGGTTAATGATTGTAACGAGTTGAAAAAGTACTGTTTTTGCGCCAAACGGCGTAAACGCTCTTAAGAGCAAAATGATGATTTGTAAGAACTATTTATTAGTCTAAACAAATAAAGAAATTTTGACTTTGACTTTGACACAAAATCACCCTCTCTTGCTGCTTTCATGCCTCACTGACTGAGTTAACCTATAATTAAAAACTTACTTTAACAGAGGTATAGGAGCTGGGACCAGTTTGGGCAGAGCTAATGTCAATTTCACAATTTCAGGCAACGTCACATCAAAGAAATACTGTGACTCTTCCTCTTCTAGATACTATTGAAAAGAAACATTATTTATAATGGATGAAGGATTATGGCTTCAATAAATACCTTTACAAAAAAGACATTGAATGTCTTCTTCATATTAACTAGAGATGAAACGGATAGTTGTTTGGCCGGATACCGGATACCGGATATCCGGCCAGCTGCTAGGCCGGATAGCCGGATATCCGGCGGCCGGATAGTTGGCCAGTTGTCTCGTTGCATGTCGTGACGAGTTTAGCGCCGCACAGGTGCTTCGAACGCGATCAGTAGACTAGACTAGTCACACTTATCGAAAATCGAATCCGTCCGAATAGAATGTCAGATTTTGCCACTTGTCTAGGAGGTAGATCAATTCGGGCGATTTCGGTTGTCATCGTGAGTGTATGATTGAATAGCGAAAATTAAATTAGTTTACTTGTTGCGTAATCTGACTGAAATCAGTGAAAAAAAGATCGCCTATTTTATTTGACAATATTTCGACATTAACAGATATTTAAGGTTGAGAAGTTCTACGGACAACTATACACGAGTGTACGCGCACCTGTCACAAATCTAGCCGAGGACCCAAGAGCTAGACTGACCCGACACTATACCGAAGATATCCCGGACGTCAGTCTGTACGAGATTAGAATGGCTCTCAAACAGCTGAAGAACAACAAGGCACCGGGTGATGATTGAATCACGGCTGAGCTTTTGAAGGCAGGCGGAACGCCGGTACTAAGGGCTCTTCAGAAGTTGTTCAATTCCGTCATCCTCGAAGGAAAAACGCCTACGACATGGCACGGAAGTGTGGTGGTACTCTTCTTCAAAAAAGGTGACAAAACCTTGTTGAAGAATTATAGACCCATCTCACTTCTGAGCCATGTCTACAAGCTGTTTTCAAGAGTCATTACGAATCGTCTCGCTCGCAGGCTCGACGACTTCCAGCCTCCCGAACAAGCCGGTTTCCGAAAAGGCTTTAGTACCATAGACCACANATTAGTTTTTTGAAAGGCTTTAATATGGCTTTTTTGTAACTTTTTGGACTTTAAATAAAAGCCATCATTATTATAAGCCATTTAATTGACATTTACGTCAAAGATCAATGCATTTCATTTTATTAATAGGAAATTGTCGTAGTTTTTTAATATCCGGTATCCGGCCGGATAGTGAGTTACTATCCGGTATCCGGCCGGATAGTAAATTTAGGCCGGATATCCGGCCTACCGGATAGTTACCGGATATCCGTTTCATCTCTATTAAAAAGACTAAAACTTGGCATTCTCAATAATGTAGACAGACCTGGCAATGTTGCCAGTTTTCTATGTAAGTAATAAAAATACCTATAATAAATGGAATGTCATCATCAAACTTACACAACTCACCAATTTTAGTTTAGGTAAGTACAATGAATAATTAGCTAAACATTGAGGAAATCATGCAATAAATATTTAAAGTGCCTGTTGATTTAGATAAATAATACAAGACATTTACCTCAAACTTTGTCTTTTCAGCTACAAAAACATTTCCAGAATCTTTATTCACGTTGATGAATCCGTTTAACTTGAGTGTGCTGGTCAGATCATTGTGGTCTTTCAAGATCAGTCTTCCGCTGGGTCTGAGAACTTTGATAATGATTGCTAGCAGGCTGTCTGTGTGGCTGATGCTGTGTGGCGGAATCCAGTTTGATAAAACTATGTCAAACGATGACTGTGGTCGTGAGGCTAAAACAAATTATAACACTGGTTATCTTGTGGCTAGCAATCAAAGGCAAACTGTTGCTCAGTGATAAAAGTAATATTGTGAAACTTTGGTAATTATAATTACATAATGTTGTAACATTGTCAAGGTGTAACTTTATTGTTAGATTGATGAATGAAATACAGGAATGTCTTGCAATTACAATACATCATGATATTAAGTCAAAATTAAGTAAAATAAAAGGACTTTCAGATGATAAAAATGTC